TAAGTCATCAAAGAAAGTTGGTGTATTTGATCGATTTTTCTGGGACAGACGTGTACGGAAGTTGTCAGGCGATATTGTCGCGTTTTGTGAATATTTTTGTAAATAAGAAAAATTGGGCCAGGGCCATAATGTGAAGAGATTGTAACTTTCAAAACCTTTGAAAGTATTGGTAACCATCCCTCCATTGTTCTGTTATACAATCTGGCACAACCGATAACATTTCAAGCATAATGTTCAATTGTGAAATAAGACATAATTTAATCAGCATGTGTGTGAACACTACTTGACCATTTTAAACACTAGTGTGAACACTACTTGACCATTTCGATTAAAATTCGCTCAACTGCCCACTCTTTCCGTACATTCAGTGGGGCCTCCACAAGTGTTAAGGCTCCCAACGTTAAGTGGCGCCCTTGACCATGGACCAAAAATGATGTCATCGTTGTACTCCGCGCTGTGTAATGAGATGGTCACTGTCCGATCTTTGACATAACAAACTTACACAAGATAAGAACAGAAAAGGACCCAGGTATTCTGTTCACAACAATTTATTTACAAATTTATCAGTTGTCGTGGACTCAATATGCTTCAAGGCTTTTACACGATGTTGCAATAAAGAGACGAAGGGCTAATGTCAGAGTGACCTTTTGTTGCTTCCTTTATCTCTTTGCTAAACTCGTGAAGTAATACAGTATGAAGCAGTATTCAACAACTGTGTTGGTTAACCTTCTAAAACTGGTTGTAACATCTAAGAGAAATAAACGGTTCTGGAAGTCACAAAGAGCGACACACTACGAGACGAAACTTGGTAGCAAACTGCTGTGTAAAACGTGAACTAGATACATGAACAAATTTGTGTATGGAGCTAGTCTCCAATCCAGCCGCAAGGGGCTAATTAGAAGTGACGGACGTCTAAGTCATGACATCAATGTTTTTTTTTTAAAGGCAAGCTCGATTTCTCCTGATTGCTCTTGATTTTTTCCCGGGACTTTATGTGATCGAACTTGACAGATGTACAATTTTAACACTAATCAACAGAACAGATAAATATTCAAAAGGATAATTTTGCTAATTATGGAGCGATGGCTGGTTCACGAGACATTCGGTTTGTCCTGACCAAAAGGGGCTCTCGTTCGCCGCAGAATCGGCCACAGGACAAAGACCTGTCTGGCCCTCCCTCAGTTCACTGGTCAAGAGTTGACTCTTGCAATTCTGCTTGACCTGACTAAGCTTGCACTGCTCATCCGTCACCTACAGTGTAACCAAACTGTGTGGAAATTTGGTTATTGAAATCTTGAGGGTCTCAGCAAAGTGATTTCTGCGTCATACGACCAGTGCTTATTTCTACCAACACCACCCACAACAGAACTGACTTTGTCTAATGTCCTTCAGCTCAGCATGAAGGATAATCAGAATTCTCAAGATAATTTCTCAAAATCTTCGACAAGGCTGCTAAGACGTGGCCTCTCCTCGGACTCTCCAACACAAGTGTATGTCCAGCTAAGAGACAAGATTAGGCCTACTCAATGTACCCACAAAATTTTCTGAACCGCGCCAAAATTTGTCTCCATTACTCCTCACACCTATTATTTTATATTGTGATCTTACAAGAAAGGATTTATTCACGTTGTAATCAAACTATCCAATGGCGATTGACTGTTTTTCTTGCGAAACTATCTTGTTTACATGAAAATACTGCATGGAGAAATACCGGTACACAACTCAACAGTTTATTTCTAGACGCATAACCCATTACCACCTGGATCAAGTCTGACTATACATGGCATGGAAACACCATCAACAAATTAATTTCACTTTGTGACAATCTGGTTTCTCACCAGGGGAGTGACTCACTGCTTTTGCAAATAGATTAGTGGTAAAAGAGCATATTAATCTGAACATTTTCGAAATTTCCGAAGTTTGATTTTTTCTGTTCATTTTCTTTATGGCGGACGGGATATTTCCATGGAGGTAAACTGATTGTTTACTCCAGTTTTACAAAAGTAAACAAAGCTGTAAACAAATTGGATTCATCTGAACCTCTTAACTTCTGGCTTTAATTCATTTTTTTGTATTTCAAGGCGCATACAGTGTACAGCTGATTTCCATTAATATTTATCAAAATACATTGTTGTTTGTGATGCCACATGAAAGACTAGTAAATCTTAAGTAGAAGAAAAAGAAGAAAACCGTTTTCTGAAATTCACTTCGTTTTTCAATGGGACCCATTTTCGTCATTTTCCGTGTTTTTCACCTTACTTAGTGCCCAATTATCCCACTTTTGTCGAATTTCCCTCAGATCACTGGTGATACTGTCTGGGAGACTAAGAAATTTTATTGCATCCATCAGCTCATTTTGTTTAAGATTGAGAGCCATTTGTCTGAAATGTGGTTCGTTTTTCATGCGGATTCAAATTTCCGCACTGAATTTGGCAGCGGTCAAATATGGGTGTACATGTACGTGTGCACCATTCCCAAAATCCGGACACGTACACACACCTGGTGCGTTTGGGTACGAGTTGACCTTCTGCATTGCACAAATACATGTACATGTACGTACAATCACGTCAAATTGCCCGACTAAAAGGCACAAACAAAAACTTTCCATTTTCAGCCATAAGGTTTCCTTCTTGTATGACACTTTCTCATTGGAGTGTTCATGATATTCCTCACCATTCCCATGTAGAGAAATGTCAGGGAAAACTCGGCAAAACTGAAAAAGTCCCCTCTAAAATGTTGGCTTCACTTCCAACTTCTGACTCTGTTACTTTTGAGGTATGTGACAAAGACGGGCAAAAATTTGGCAGAAAATGGATTTTTTTATAGTGTGCAAGTTAACAAAAGGAACTTTGAGTGTTTAAATTCTAATCAGTAGGGAAATGAGAGGCAAACAAGTTTATCTGAGCTTCATGTTGATCGATTCAAGTTAGTTGGTTTTGGGGTCCACCTGCCCGAGTCAACTGGCTTCTGCCGCTGTAATGGTTCAGCGCGCATGCGCACAAACTAAGTGAGGGGCATGACCGTACACCGTGGTAACAGTTCTCCGGCGCGGCTGGTACAGGTACGCACTGAGCCGGCGCGATCACGTCAATGCGCAGAATTACACGTAGTATAGTAACACATGTGTAGTTACAGTTACACTGTCCACAGTCCGAGGCGCAGAGCCTTACCACTAGCACTGCACTTCGAACCCATGATGATCATGCCACTGGAGCGCTATCAGGTCCTTCCTCCATGATCGAACTGACGATGGGGCCACTGCTGGAGAACTAGGCGATGAAGGAGACCAAGATCATTTTGATAAATACGGCTTGGTAAGTTCAGCGTGAAGGACAAATGTTTTTTTTTCCAAAAAAAGGGTCAGGCTAGGCTGGCATGTACTTTGTATGAAAACATACCAACGAAACCAGGTCATGCGAGGTCATGACTTTTTCGTTTCCACGGGGGTACCGTACGTACGTAATCAAAAAATAATTTCTTCGTGGCGCCACCAACGGTACAAACGTGGAAATTTTTTGAAAACCCCGCAGAAGTAGTCCGTATGTTTATCGCATTATTACCATTCATTCAGAAGTCACAGTGCCACTTTACATATATAACTTAATTCTGCTAGGATCGAACGTCAGGCCCTCTGTATTTTGAGATAACTTATTACTTAGATACCACGTGAGTATATTAAACTGTATTCCCCATTTTTTTTCACCACCGTTGAGGTCGCTCTTTAAAGGCCATCGTAGAAACCCGGCATTTCTCGATAACACGATAACAGAGACTCCACCTCCGCTTGCACATTGTGCACATTGATTTTCTGAGCTATCGTAGGGGAAAATGAATTAAACTACAAACAATTTTTCATGAATCAAGTTAAAAAAGTAAGAGTTAAACAACAACAAGGGCAGGATAAATCAGGAAGGTGAGCGAGTATTTCCATCGAGAATTGTGATCACAACCGCGATACTAGAGTAACCCATCCTACGTGCGTGGAGATCATTGTAAGTAACGCTTGGGGTGGCCCTATTGTTTACTTATTCATTTGTTTAATTTATCCAGGGTGAGCCAAATCGGGCCCTGCGGGTTTAAGTTAAAAACACAAGCACCATAAAAAGACATGAAAAGTATTGAAATTATATAAAAACCAGTGTTGTAGTCAAGACCTTTATGAGACCGAGACCAAGGCATTCGAGATCAAGACCGAGACCAGCTCTTTCAAGACCGAGACCCGGACTTTGAGACCGAGACTTTTGCAGTTCGAGACCGAGACCAAGATGACCGAGACCGAGACCTTGCACAACATATACAATATATAGGCCTACATGTAGTTCATTGATGGTAAACGTGGTGGACAATTGGCATTAAACAGCAAAATTAAGTGCAAATTTTACATGTAAAGCACACAACATATTCAATATTCCATGGAAGACTTTTATTTGAACTCTGGGAAAAAAACAGCACACAGTTATTTTGACCATGAAGGCATGGACTGCCGATGCTATAGAATTTTGTATAGAGTATACGGCATAATCGTACATTAAACATGTACATGCACAGAGTTTTTGTGTTCCATATGTTTAGCAAAATTAACGTGGGCGGGCCATGTCCAAATGTTTAAAAAGGCAAAACGTGGGGTCTGAGTTGCTCGGACTATGCCAAAAGGTGTGCATGAGTTCAGTTTATGAGTTATACTCTGTAATGATCAATGGACAGGTTAGTAGGGTCACACAACATCGTGGGCAGTTCCCTATTAAAAGTACATGTACATGTAAGCATACACACAACTGACGTATGTATACCAGTGAAATGAAATAGGTACTGCACGCAGGGCACCAGTGCTCCGGGCTGAGAATATGCATTAGTCTCCACTCCAGTTTTAATTTCATTCTTTATCGTGAATACCATGTCGCACTGTACATGTTCCAAGCATAGATGCGGAATAGCGTGCAGTTCGGAACTAGACTCATTCGGAGGTAAACTTGCGCTGCAAGCAGCACTGCTATATACATGTACATATGTGTGCAGTATGTACCGTACGATCCGGGTACGTGATTTTGCCGCGGCCGAGCGTGAATTGTTGACGCACATTTTCTGCATTTCTGTCATGGTCTCGGCAGGTCTCGGGTGGGAGACCCGAGACCTCGGCATCCGAGACCAAGACCGAGACCAGCCCTCCCGAGACCGAGACCAACCCTCCCGAGACCGAGACTCTTGTAGGCCGAGACCAAGACCGAGACCGAGACCTCAAAAAAAGGTCTCGAGACGGTCTCGAGACCGAGACCAGGTCTCAAGACCTCCAACACTGATAAAAACATAAAATCACAAGAACAAAACTAATATAAAATATACGTAAATTAAAAATGACAACATACGTATAGGTAATACAAATTGGAAAACATCGAGTAATATATTAATGAAAATAAAAATGGAGAGTAAGGCACAAATATAGAAAAATGATGTGTATTATGCAAACAATAGTTGGAAAAGCTCAGTTTTAAAAACTGGAAGAGACTCAATTTGTCTGAGTGTATTCGGCAGATCGTTCCACATTTGAGCCCCAGAAACAGCAAAGCTCGAGCGCAGGCTTTCCATCTTGGCCAAGGGAACCCTCAGAGTAAGGTTATTATTTTGCCTTGTGCAGCTGTAAGTACATTTTGAGAATAGATCTGTGCCACAGTGTGCTCACTTTACTGCCACTGCAACAGAAGGACTGGATGCAGGTCAGAAAAATGATTGTAACAACACCCAAACTATACTATTCACAATATTTGATAAGAATTTATTTACAAAATTTCTCAATTCTATAATACATATATATATTCTGGCCACAAAAGTACATGCATTTATACAATAGAATGGTTTTTTAAAACAAATGCTATCGGCAAAACTTAACCATTTCATATCAGTAGAAGCAGTTCGGTATGGACAACCAGGAATTAATCTGGCGGCTCTTTTCTACATTCTGTTGAGCAACTAATTACAGTGTGCATGGTAACGGCCTCCCAAACAGTACTGCAATCATCCAAACTCAGTAATACATAAGTTTGAACTAAAGTATGGAGACTGCTTTTAGGGATGTTGTGGCGAATTCTACTTAACATGGCTAGTTTGGAGGAAACTTTATTTTTAATGTAATCAACATGGAGAGATGGTGAGTGTTTCGTCGATTATAACACCTAAACACTTACAAGAGGTGACTTGTTCAACTATATCGCTATTAATAACAATGTTAAAGTCAGTAGAGGTGATCTTTTGTTTCGAGCCGATAATCATAGACTTGGTTTTGGCAGCATTAATTATCAACATATTTTGGACGGCCCAATCATAGATATTAGCCATGGCTGTGTTGAGGCTACGCTCAATTTCGTCTCGGGTGGAGAAGCTACATGTTATTGTTGAGTCGTCCGCGTACATGTACAGCCGGCATATGCATCGAGATATATCACTGGTATACGTTATAAATAACAGGGGTCCCAAAATGGATCGCTGTGGAACGCCGCGCCGGTTCTTAGAGGGACAGCCTCGGAGCAACATTTCCTTATGCAGACAGACTGTTTGCGGTTGGCTAGATAGGACCTAAACCAAGTGATAGCCGAAGCTGACAAAGACATCGAATGTAGCTTCTCCATTAAAATACTGTGATCTACTGCATCAGAGGCCTTACTCAAATCAATTAATACAGCACCAGTAATTTTACCGAGCTCTATGGCGTGAAGACAGTTATTCATCAGTCCATGCAGTGGTCTCTGTTGAATGCAAGGGTCTGAAGCCTGATTGACAAGGGGGAATCATCCTTTTTTCATCAAGGTATGAATACAAATCATCGTTAACTGCTCTCTCGAGAATTTCGGAGACAATCGGGAGAATGGACATCGGCCGATAGTTATTATTAATACAACATTCATCTCCGCCTTTATGTATAGGAATAGCAGAAGCATATTTCCAATCATCTGGGTATTGACCACTTATAACAGACAAATTATTGAAAATATATGTTAATGTGCTCACTACAAACGGACAAGCAAGTTTCAAAAGCTTGGCACTTGAGCCGTCTAAGCTTGCAGCTTTCCTAGCTGATATTGAGTCGATATGTTTTTGCACAAAAGCTTCAGTGATTTCAGACAGCATAAACTTGCGTTCGTGGTGCGCTGAAACATGGAGATTATCGCTACCATCACTCTTCTTCTGAGCGTACCTGTTACCAACGATACACTTGGCTACGGTCGAAAAGTGTTCATTTAATGCGTTGACAATGTCGCTGGGACCATCTAAATGCTCACCATCGACCACAATCGAATTGGGAACCGGCGTTTTTTTGTTGGGAAGGATCCCCTTAATTGTTTTCCAGAAGGTAGAAGAATTGCCTTTGTTCGACTCAGTTGTGGAAACTTCATAGTTACTCTTCTCATAGCGCATTTTGGAAGTCACCATGTTACGTAACTTTTTGTAATTGTCCCAGTCACTGGGTGAACCAGACCGTCTAGCTATTGAGTGGATACGGTCATGTACGCGCATCACATGAACAATTTCGGTGCTCAATCAGGGCAGAGATGCACTACGGACACGTTTAGTTTTTACGGGAGCTTGCAAATTAATAATGCTCGTCAGTGTAGAGTGCCACAAAGACCAAGCATCATCAACATTGTTACAATCAAAAATGCGATGCCATGGTGCAGCTGCAAGATTATCCGCAAACGCATCATAATTAATGCTTGCAAATGATCTGAAATTAATACAGTCACTTTTCAGTTTCGGTTTGTTCCACTCATGTACACCATACATAAGATAGTGATCGCTAACTGCAATAGGCAAAACGCCACTTTCAGTTATTAATTCTGGCCGAGAGGTAACAAAAAGATCAACGGCACTTTTGGTGGTCTTTGTAACTCGTGTTGGATCTCGGATAAGTTGTACTAGCTGAACGAAGATTAAAACAGGACAATAAATGAAAGGATGAATTTACATTTAAGACGTAAATATTAAAATCACAAGATGCTTTATCTAGCAAATTATTGAGTTTGTCGATAAATACGCCTGGTGTCGATGGGGGCCTATATACAGAACACACAACAAAAGATTTCCTGTGCTTGTGCTTTATCTCAACCCAAATACACCCAATGCTAACCGTCTCCAGATCAGTACGCCGGGCATAAGAACAATTACAGCGAATGTATATAGCCACCCCACCACCATGGTGACTTCTATCTTTGCTGACAATGTCATAGCCTGGAAGTTTGATTTCATCATCTGAAACTGAACTGTCGCAAAATGTTTCATTCAAACAAAGGATGTCGAAAGGAGCCATAGACATGATCATTTTAAGCTGGTCGAGGTTCTTCACTAGGCTCCGTACATGTATATTCAGATGAGCAATAGAAAAGGCACTGGGAAGCTTATTGGAGATTATAAAGTTCGTAACAGTAGTTATCGTTCGATAAAGAGGATTAGGGACACCACAAAAAAAGTTTTTTGCATGCCCTGTGTCACTTCTGCAGGACGGTGGACAAAAGTAAGGAGCCCACTCGACAACTCTGAACGGTTGGCCATTTCTTTCAACCCGACATGTCCGGTCATCATTCAGCGGCAAACCTGCTGGCTCTCTCAGAGAGTGGTGACTACTATAATGTGGCTCTCGATCTTTACGATCGCGGGAGTAGGAGGATTCAGAGGATAAGTGAGTGGGTGGATGACAATCTGGCTGGGTTGGCCGACTCGATCACTTGTACCTTGGGAGAAGAGGAAGACTTTATGGTGCTTAGTGTTGGACCAGGTGATGGTAAGTTCCTCCACACAGCAACACAAATTGTGGCTAGCCTTAGGCAGTCAAGCTCTTTCAAAATCCCAATACTAAGCCCAAATCGGATGAAAGATTATAGGATTTAGATTTGTAACACTTATAGTTCAAAGTGAATCACAGACGAATATGTGTATTTAAGGGAAAATCTAGGCCTACGATGAATAAGTTCAAATTTGTGATAAATCAAACTTTTTTGTTTTCAGCCAGTTTTTTAAGGGAGATTTGAAACGCACACCAGTCATAAAATATTTCGGTATAATTGCATTGTTTATGAAACAATAACACAACAATGGCGAAAATGGTTTTCTCCTGACTCAGTTATC